AATCTTTAAAAAAAAAAAAACTGCCACAAACTCAACAGCTTAAAACATTCATTTATTATATCAGTTTGGTGAGTTGGCAGTGAAAATCAGGGTGTTGACGGACTGGCTTCTTTAGGATGTTGGCAGACTTGAGTTCCATACAGTTGTAGGACTGAGGTCCGTTTCCTTGCTGGCTGTTGGCTAGAGGTGTTCTCAGCTTCTAGAAGTTGTCTGCATTTCTTGGCTTTTGGCCCCCTTCTTCCATTTGAAAGCCATCAACGGTAGGTCACATCCTCGTGCTTCAAATCTCTGTGATCTCACCCCTTCTGCCTCCTCTTCTGCTACTGGTCTCTCAGAAATTTCTCTGCCTTTTAGGGCTCAAGGGATTAGATTGGGCCCACCCAGATAATCCAGGATTCTCTAAGGTCCATAACTCTAATTACATCTACAAAATCCCTTCACCCTAGCACCCAGTATAATGCTTGAATAACCAGGGGTTGGGATCCTTGGGAGACAGTGCAAAACATGTACCTAGCTGGTCAGAAATGTGCTTCCCACAAAGATGTGCTGTGTAGATTAAATGGGATGAGCTGTATAAAGCACGGAGCAGAATACCTGGCCCACTTTAAGGGCTCCTTTCTCATCTGCTTCGCTGGACTCACTGATGTTCTGCATTGTGAGCCAAGGGCATCCAGCAAGGGCCCAGGTCAGCAGCTGTCCAGGGTCCGCATGGACTGTGATAAGAACCTGGCTGGCTGGTTAGGTCCACCTGTTCACTTGGCCTTCCCGCTGGCTGGTTAGGTCCACCTGTTCACTTGGCCTTCCCACATGCCTCTGTTTACCTTTCAGAACTTGTATCCTTTCTCCAAAGCCTGTTGTTGAATTCGGGTTTGGTCTACTCTGACATTTTGGCTAGACTTTGCTTGTTTAGGTACCTCTAATCAGAGGCAAGATTAGGTATTACAGAATAGTTCTTAAGAAAGCTGGGCCTGGGCTGTTTATGGGGAGCTGTCAGTTGGTCTTTATTTCTGCCCTAAATAGTGACCATAACTTTGGATGGCTTAGGATACATCTGAAAGACATTTTATTGTAGCCTTTCAGTTTTTGTTTGTACTTGCAAGAAGGCCTATCACTTCATTCCTTTACCCTGCTGTGTGCGGAGTCTCATGAAAGTATCACTTGCTTCTGCTTCCATTTCATGAGTAATGCCCATGTGGGAGGCACAGAATGAAGGCTTTATATGCTTCATCTCATTCAATCCTTACTTACCCGAGCAGCGGGCATTACCTTACTCTCCTACAGCTGAAGGCGGGACTTGGGAGGTTAAGCAGCTTGCCCTGCAGAAGATCCGTGGTAGAGCTGGCATCAACACTGGCTCCAGCCTGGGCCCCATGGCCAGATGGTAATCTCTCTCTTCTGTTTCAGGCTCTGAAGCGCCAAAGCTCCCTGGGCCTTTCCTTCTTTAATAGTATCTTGGCACATGGAGACCTGCGCAACAACAGACTCAACCAGCTCTCCGTCAACCTGTGGCACCTGGCACAGAGACATGGCTGTGCAGATACCAGGACCATGGTGAGGCACTGGGAAGGCATGGGGGTCCTGGTGAACCACATAAAGCCACCGGCCAGAGCACAGCTGGCCTCAACAAACCCGTCTCCCCTTTCTTTTTTTCCCTCTGAATAAAATACACATCTATAAAAATGTGAGCTATTCCTGGTCACACCAAAATCTGATTTTATAAGCAAATTATAATCTAAGAAGTTGTACTTAAAGACTTCACTCTCTTTTATTTTAATGATTTTATTTATTTGAGAGAGAGGGGGAGGGAGAGGGAAAAGCAGGCCTCCGGCCGGGGAGCTCAATCCCAGGACCCTGAGATCATGACCTAAGTCGAAGGCAGACCCTTAACTGACTGAGCCACCCAGGCGCCCCATACTTTAAAGACTTTGTTGGTTGCTTCTCCTCCTTTATCCTTCAAAAGACTTTAGCTGTAAGAAAGCATAAGCTCACAATATGGTTGATTTGTTGGTGCACTGGTGAACCAGAAAGGATACTGATTGTTCTTTTTCCTCCTAGGTGAAAACTCTGGAATACATCAAGAAGCGAAGCAAACAACCAGATATGGGTCATCTGACTGAACTGGCCCTCAGGCTCCCTCTGCAAACAAGGACCTGACTAGGGCTGTGAAGCCAAGTCCAG